TGCAATTGCTGTTGCTGCAGGCGCAGAATGACTTGCATCTGCTGGACCTGAAGCTCTGGCGGTGGTCAGGCCCTGCTGCTGCTGCTGCTGCTGCTGCTGCTGCTGCTGCTGCTGAAGGGGAAGAAGAAGAGACAGAGGAGAAGCAGCAAACTGCTTCGGGGCTGCTGCAGCTGCTTTTAAATGGCCCTTCTCCCTCTCCCAGATTTGGACACGCAATGGTTTCTATTCCCAACAGAAACAGATGCATTATGTTTGGGTCAGCAAGGGTTTAGGGTTTAGGGTTTAGGGTTTAGGGTTTAGGGTTTAGGGTTTAGGAATGAGGGTTTAGGGCTGAGGCGGTTTCGTCCGACATCAAACCCTGAAGCCTGCATGCTAGGATTCAAAGCTTTAGCGAGTGGATTTTACTGTTTGCATCGAGGGTTTAGGGTTTAGGGTTTAGGGTTTAGGGTTTGGGGTTTGGGGTTTAGCGATTAGGGTTTAGGGTTTTAGTGGGGTGTTTGTTAACTGCAGCGGAGACGAAGACGAAGGAACTCTATGGGCGCTCGATTTGCAGCTTTCGTATCAGCAGCCACAGGAAGAAGCCAGCAGCAGCAGCAGCAGCAGCAGCAGCAGCAGCAGCAGCAGCAGCAGCAGCAGCAGCAGTCAGGATATACTGCAGCAGGTTGAGGCGACCTGGAGCCGCATCGAGGTGAGCATTTGAGGCAGAGTTCTGTCAGTTCTTTTTAACCACACTTTATTTGCTGCCCGTTCTCATTTAGTTGCTGCTGCTGCTGGGGCCCCTTTCGCCTCAACCCACTTGCTGCCGCAGCCCCCCGTGCGCCTCCGCGCTCCAGCCGACGCCCCAGCCCCTGCTGCGCCCACTGCTGCTGCTCCCCCGCTGCTGCTGCTGCTGCTGCTGCTGCTGCTGCTGCTGCTGCAGACGCAGCACACAGGGCCCGTGAGCCGCCGCTTCCACTCCTTGGCGCTGCTGGGGGGGCAGCGGCTGCTGGTCTTCGGCGGCTGCGGAGTCTCGCGGCCGAAAGACCCGATGGGGCTTTACGTTTTGGACTTGGCCGCATGCAGGTGGCGGCGGCCGATGTACGAGGGTGAGCAGCAGCAGCAGCAGCAGCAGCAGCAGCAGCAGCAGCGCAGCAGCAGCAGCAGCAGCAGGCGCGGGGGCTTTGCTGCTGCTCACCGCCAGAGAAGCTGGTGTTTACTTCAAAGTGTTTTTAATGGAGTTCGCTTTGCATGCGTTTGCGGTGTATGCATGCGTTTGCGGTGTATGCATGCGCTTCGGGTGTACGTACACTGCGCGCAGCGTGCAGCTGCGAAGCAGGTGAAACTGCAGATTGCTTTTCAGAAAAAAATAAATAAATGTTTTCTTTTATTATTTTGCATTTATTGTAAATAAAGTTTCTATTTTTTTGTTTTGGATGCATTAATTCGCCTTGCGCCTTCAGCAGCAACAAGTTCACGGCTTTTTGTGCAGCAGCAGCAGCAGCAGCAGCAGCAGCAGCAGCAGCAAAATAAAGATAAAAAAAGAAAAAAAGGAAATAAAGCTTTTGCGGAGATCAGGGATCGTTTAAAATATTAAAAAGGTTCTAAAGTGGCGATTAAATTCGAAAACAGAATTTAAATTCAATTTGCATGCGCTGCTGCTGCTGTTGCTGCTGCTGCTGCTGCTGCTGCTGCTGCTGCTGCTCCGCAGGGTCTCTTTCTCTCTCCGCACACAGCGAAGCTGTTCTCCATGACAAATTAATTGCCTTTGGAGGCGCAGCTCTAGTCTCCAAAACCCCAAGCCCTCAACGTGAGACGCGCTAGGGTTTAGGGTTTAGGGTTTAGGGTTTAGGGTTTAGGGTTTGGGGTTTAGGGTTTAGGGTTTGGGGTTTAGGGGCATGTGCCATTCGGGTTCTGAATTTATCACTTCTTCAGCAGCAGCACTTTAGAAGCTTTGCATGCGCGGAGTGTACATACACTCGAAAACCCCTCCTGCTGCTGCTGTTGCTGCTCCGCAGCTGCCCCGGAGGTTCGCGACGCCCCCAGCAGCAGCAGCAGCAGCAGCAGCAGCAGCAACAACAACAGCAGCAGCAGCAGCAGCAGCAGCAGCAGCAGCAGCAGCAGCAGCAGCAGCAGCAGCAGCAGCAGCAGCAGCTTGAGTCGGCGTTTGCTGCTGCTGTCAGTGTTGGAAATAAAAGAAGGGCCTTCCAGCGCGGACTGCAGATTCAAACTTGTGACTGTGGGCGACTCCGGCGTGGGGAAGTCTTGCCTGCTGATGCGCTTCGTGCAGGTGGCCTAGGGTTTAGGGTTTAGGGTTTAGGGTTTAGGGTTTAGGGTTTAGGGTTAGGGTTTGGGGTTGAGGGTTTGGGGTTTAGAGGTGGAGGTTTGGGGTTTGGGGTTTGGGGTTTGGAGTTTAGGGCTTGGGGTTTAGAGGCGCATGCGGAAGCGGGCTAAAGGGTTTAGGGTTTAGGGTTTAGGGTTTAGGGTTTAGGGTTTAGGGTGTTTCTGGGTCCGTTTGAGCCGG